GCTAATATTTCTGTAATTGTGGGATCAAAATATCTATCGAATCAAATTATCTTAGAAAAGTGATTAGATTACTTATCTTAAATTAAAATTTTAAATTACTTATTTGAAATTCCATATTTTAATTTTCTGTCTAGTACATACAGGTTTTATATCATTTCAGAAGATTCTGCTCGCTAGATGTTTACTAAATATTTGAGAAATTCATTTAGGCCAATAGAATATAATCGTAGCAGAAATTTGAACTTCAGACAAGACTCAAGAATAAATAATTTATAGAAGAATACATATTCTTACAATCATTTTCTTCTAGCTACTGCAATTCATTCGACAATTTCAATCACCCTTTTTCCTTCCCAAATCGCCCACCAGCGACCGAAAGCTAAACTCACTAAACACTGACAGTTCGACCTGGGTCTAAATCCCTACAAATGAACAAGAGCGTTTCCATGTTTTTTTTTTTTTTTTTTTTTCTTTCTTCTTATATGTAAAAAGAATACAAGCCACTTTTCCTCGTCGTTCATGAATACATCTTTACATTAAGGCAGACAGCCTTCGCGTCATTAACCATAACCAAATAAACCAAACAAAACTTTCCCAAATCTCCTAAGATTTGTCTTCTCAACATTGATTTGTCTTGTCAATTCTATCACTCTTTAATTTATGAAAACATTGCTGTGACCGTGAAAGTAAGAAATATATCTAGGGGTTAGCCTTACTGAATTGCTTTAATTGATTTAACTTTTGCCCATATTATATCTCTTGTTAACAATCAAATGCTGCAATAAATGTATTTCATGTGCCATTCTGTATGTTTTGGTAAACTTGGAGTATCAAATTATTGAAATTTTTACATAATTTAGGCTCTAAAATTAATTTCTAATCTCAAATTGAATATGGTGTTTTTGTTGTTGATGTGACTAATCTAACTAATCTGATCTAATCAGAACAAGCCCACGAATTTTATCGTGCCAAAAAGTATAAGATGACATGTGTCGTTGGCAAGATCCCTTGAGTACCATCTAGATGGCAGAACAACTGGGATCAGTTCCGATCGAATATGGCATCCCGGGTCAAGTGTCTGAAAGCTTCGCACCCCTGTTATCCTACCCCTAAACCACACGATATACTATTGCACACGATATGCTATACTGTAATATACTATTGCAGTTCTATTGCAATTATACTATTGCAGTTTACAATTTTAAGACATACAACAATGTGAAAATTTTAAATAAGTAACAAACGAAATATCAGCTTCACGTGCAAAGCAAGTAAAATTATCGTTTATATTATAAAAAGAGTGCGTCGAAACGTTTTTGTTTTTTTAATCTATATTGTCTTATCTTATCGAAACGTTTTCGTTTTTCCTTTATTTATATTGTCTTATCTTTATCTACTTTCAGATACATTCAGTAAAAATATTTGGTAATTGTATAATCATTGGCGACCTCTTTTGGGGTCGCGACCCACAATTTAAGAAAGTCCACGCTAGAACATAAATACTGGCCAATGAAAGGACACAAATAATTAGTTTGGTTAGGTTTGTTTAATTATGGCAAAGCGTACAAGGGCTATCTGCCTAAGGGGAGGGATGTCTTCATGAAGGACTTTCTAAGGAAAACTGGTTCGCATACATGTTACAAATGGGGAAAATCACTAAAACGTCAATGCAGTCAACCCGCTCACCAGGACTGGAACCGCGGACCGAGCTACCAGGGTTTAGTGACTTTACCACTCAGCCGCTGGTAGGCTCAGGTACGAATAAATAAGGTGTTTTAAAGTAGCTGCCCCACTAAAAGTCTTTGAAAATTCTGTCGTGAACATTTTGTCTTGCTTAGTCTTGCCTTTTAATAAACATACCAGGAATTAAACAAGTTGGGTTTTTAGACTGTGACATTCTTTCGTTAAAACTATCAAAAGGTCGTTATGTGGTGTCAGTTTTTAATGAAGTAATATCATTACAATTTTTTCCTGCCAGTTTACTTACAGCATCTCGTTTTAAACATAACATTTTATTGTTCTATATCTTTATTTTAACTTCATAAAGTGAGCTTATTTGTCTTATGTTCATGTTGTTGTGAGTTAACTCACTTGTCTGACAGAAACATCAAAACAAGCCCACGAAATTCATTGTGGTAAGAAGTGCAAGATTGCGCCTATCGTTGGCAAGAACCTTGAGCACCATACAGGTTATAGTATACGACTCTGCTCAATTTCGCCCCTTTTTTTGATGGTGAACGCACCGGGGGCTGGTTTCCCACCCCATCTTCCCCTACCATCAACCACTCAAGAGTAATATTAGTGGTACTCTTGAGAGGTTGATGGGGCTTGCCGTATATTTGGAGTGCTCGCATACCGCACAGACACTATACATACAAACATCCATGCCTTTTCCGGGATTCGAACCAGAGCCCTTTGGTACAGTAGCCAGCGTCGCTAACCACTAGTCTGGTTGGGCGGCTAGCTTATTGTAATTGTTTAGTTTAAAATTCATTTGGATTTTGAACCGAAATCTGTATATCAAAATTATATCGGAATTCTTTTTTAAAAAACTTTTTGAATCTTTTTTTTAGTTTTTTAAACTTTAATAATAAACTCTCCGAAATGCTCCGCTACAACCTCTGGTTTTCAGATTGTTTTACATAATTGTTCCACTATGGAAATTATTTCTCTTTTTGCTTTTTTTCCCCGAATAAAAATTTAAGTTTTATTTATTAGTCCAAAGGGATTTCAGTCCCGAAGGACTATTGCTTTCGTTTTGGCATTTTGCGTCGGACTCATAAACGTCGGTTCACTTTTCAAACTGTTGCCACAAAATGTTAGAGTCCTGCATTATATTTGAAGAAATTAAATAATGAAAAATCTGCATAAATGATTGTCTATTTCTCGCATTGTGATAAAACAATGGTACATAGAGCCATCGAATTTTGAATGACGAAATCCTACTGCGAATATGGGCATCTGAAATCCCAAATTTGAATTTGTTTTATTATGAGATTTATATTTGTAAAACTTTAACGAATTTTTGATTTACAAACTCAATGCTTTAAAAGCGAGAAATGGCAACGTTTATAGAAAAAAAAATACTTTTCTCCAGCGCGCGAGACTGTGTATATCGGAAATTCTAAAGATATGCTTAATTTAAATTATTTTGCGATATTGCTCTTGAACTGAATTTTATGGTTTAAGTGCAAAGAACATGATATTTAATAAATAAAGGTAACACTCAAAACGTTAAAAAAACGCCCCTTTGGACGTAATTTAAAATCTGAAAAATTTCAGATTTTTTTTTTTTTTTTTTTTTTTTTTTACTTTTACTACAAGGTGCTCCATGAATAAAATGATTGCAGTGGATTGATCTTCTAAGGCAGTGGAAAAAAACTGGAATAAATAAATAGGAAGAAACTGGAAGAAATGAAAAAAAAAACTGAAGGAAATAAATAATGGTATAAACAGGATAATTCCCTAATAACAATTTTAACTTATTTTAAAATACATGTTTTACTATTTTCGCAATGCAATGAGAAATAACTTTTTTTTAGACAATCTAAAATGTATGGTAGAACCCTTATTCATTTTTAGTATATAATACACTCTGTTAATTATGTAAATTTAGTGTTTTAATAATTAATTCAATGAAACTATGTTAATTATGTAAATTCAGTGTTTTAATAAATAATTCAACTTTGGTTTTTGCTCTTTGTAACAAACGTACCGATTTCTTTTTTTTTCCGTTAGAAATTGAAATTCAGTTCCAATATCAAAACTCGCGTGAAAGAAGATTTCAAAGTAAGTAGGAAAAGTGCATACATATAAGCACAAATACATATTACCAAAGAAAAATTATTGATGAAGACATACAAATGAAGTTAAATATACAAATAATGAAAATATTTAAATTTACTAGTTTTATAAATGAACAATATATAAATATATTACAATTGAATAATGTGAAAAAACTTCTTCTAACAAATTTTATTCGCCATGAAAGAAACTTGCTAAGCCTACAGAGAATACATCATTTCTAAATTTTTACTTTGTCCACGACCTAGGAACTTGCATGGTGGAAAAGAATGTGTGATTTATAAAATGAATGTGTGATTGTTTCATCATTCCAGTTTCATAGGAACTTCGTGACGTAATTGAGATCAAAATTCTGAAGGGTTCGACCAAATTGTCTTCTCTTTTACATTTACCGATTCATCAACAAAATTTCAGAATAAATAATGCACCAAAAAGAAAAGTTCTGTTAAAATACAAAAGAGGTTTTTTAAATTATACGCAAACCAAAAATAAATTAGTAACATAAATGTTAATATACGAATACAATATAGATAAATATATAAATATGAAACAATTTTAACCTGTTTCTTCCAGCCAGTCTTTGGGAAGATTTTTCCAGGCTGTGGAAGAAATCTGCCAGCTCTAGTCGCAATATGAATCTTACATATTGAATTCGTTTCTTGCATTAAACGTTATGAATCAGTATCCAGTTACTGTAGCTACACATAGTGAGGCATTCTTTTCTAAATGTTCCTTACATTTTCGGTTGCTAAATGAAATCGTCTGTATCTATTCTAATATTTTGCTTTTTATATATACGTATTTGGTTGACTTTGGAAAAAACTTTTCTATGCCCTAATGTTCTGTTAATGAAAGTTTCACCTTGTCTGGAAAAAAACATTCCTGTTAATTTTGGTTACTCAACTTAATTGTTGTTATTTCCTGTTTTGTGAAGGAAATGGATTTAAGCTAATCTCTCAAACTCTGCTATTACTCTACACGTCTAAGTTGATTGCTTCATCATGCATTTTTGAAAGTCACCCGGTAATTTCAGCTAGTCCTTCTGTTTAACATTTCTTACTGTATACTACTATATCATTCCGTCAACAGATTTCTTCCAGTAGCTTTTGCTCATCATATGCAAAAGCTGCTGTGATAAGAAAGAAAAATTTTTAGGTACATTTCGAGAGTTAACAATTTAAAATTATATTACTTACGATATAAGTCAATCTGTACAGAGACTGTGTTAGGAGCCGTAATGTTGTTATTTACGGACCGGCAAGTAAGTGTTGTCAACAAGTCCGATCGTCGAGGAATGAAGGTGTAATCACTTCTTACTTGGCCATGAGCAGAAACTGGTGCACTACCTTTCAAAGGTTTATTTCCTCTCCACCATGATAGAAATGGACTTGGCTTACCTAAATATCAAGTAAACACAAATCTTTTAAATTAGAATTAACTATTACATCTAAAATAGAGATGTTCATCACAAGTAAATTTTGAAACTTTGCATCAAACTTATATGAGTACTCTTCTAATATAAAGTTGTTCATACTGTAGAGTCATCAGGTTTTGTTGAAGCAGGAAACATGAAAAATGTGCAGTGCCCTCGCCGGGGCTCAAACCCTGGAGTGAATATGGAATACGCTTGAGGTATGCTTCCAGTAATATTTAAAGGCGAAAAGATAATAAAGATATGGAAGTCCATTTCTGAATAATATTATTGCTTATTTTGCAATTAATACCATTCATTTCACAACGTTTTTGAGTACGGAATAGGAATATTTCTCTTCGAATAGCACATAACATATCCTTCAATCTACAGCTTGTTTACATGCAACATTACGAAAGAAGAATAAGATTAGAATTAGCGGAGGATATCTCATTTCAAATAATATGCTGTTGCCAGTAATGTTTACTCCAAAATATTTGGTTTTCTTTAGTTCCTTATCGAATTCATACTAAGAATGAGTAAACTTTCTCTGTGCAAAGCCACAGACTCTTCTGAAAACCTTTTAAACCAGAATTAACGTGCTTGCTGCAGAAGTATTAAAATGCAAGCCATCTTCTAAAATTTGCGCTCATCGTTTTGCCAACATTGTGATGCATGCCTTGCAGTCGTTTCTAATTTCAATTTTCTATAATCTCTTATTTTTATTTAGGTGTGCCTCCTTTCTGGCCTAAAAATAATATGTTTCACAAACAATAATCAATCAACAAATGGACTGTATACCTTCACTTTTATTTCATTACACTAAGTATAAATAAGATGTCAGCGATGCGAGAAATAATTGATACAAAATAAGCGAGCCATTCTACATGGCTGTCACAAACACAATTCTATCAATCAATTATCTTGTTGCCACACATAAAGTTCAAAACTAAAGGAAGGAAAACAAAAATTTACGCTGTTTGCAACAATAAAATGAAGCAAACGATACTCACATAAACATCCTGGCCCTCGTTGAAATCCCAGGGGATTTCAACAGTTGGAGCATTTTGAAACTTCTTAGTCTGTAATAAAAGATAAACATAAGAAAAATAATACAAAATATTACATGCGAAGCAGTTCATAGTTTTAGTCTGAATAGGAAGAGGACACAATTTCACGACTGGTCGTTTGACACCATGACCAGCTTTAATACTAGCAACTCTGACTTTATGATCTGAGCCCGGATGAACAGCAATTATTCTCCCTAACCTCCATTTAAGAGGCGGAAGATTGTCTTCTTTGATGAGGACTAAGTCATTGACTTCTAAATTGTTTTGACTTTTTGCCATTTAGGTCTTTGCTGAAGCTGAGACAGGTATTCTCGACTCCATCTTTTCCAGAAGTGCTGAAAAATAAACTGTCTCACATGCCATCTGTCAAGGTGATTGAAGGAACTATAATTTAGGTCTGGTTCAGGTATGGCAGTTAAAGACGTTCCTATTAGGAAATGACCAGGTGTTAATGCAGTTAAATCATTTGGATCAGCCGATGTTGGACACAATGGCCTAGAGTTGAGACAAGCCTCAACCTGCGCTATCAAGGTCTGAAATTCCGGATAGGTCAGCACAGTATCACCAGCAGTTCTTTTTAGATGTAATTTCATTGACTTTACTGCCGATTCCCATAGTCCACCAAAATGGGGAGATGATGGCGGGTTGAATATCCATTTTATTTCCTCTAAAGACAAAAATTTGTGAATTTCTTGATTTTGCTTACATTGCAAATTGACTTGCAGTTTTAGCTCTAAGTTTGCAACACGTGATACAAGATCATACTACTTTTCGGATAGCAGATCTAGCAGCTATGATCCAAAATTGCTGTCAATTAAAGATAGAAGAAGTTCCGGTGCTGCATGCAGATATTTGACATGAAAGTGTCTAATTATGATTTCTGTCAGATTGTGTTTTGAAGGTAATAAGATTGGATGTTTTTCATTTTCTGATAGTTGCGCATTTTTCAGTCTTCCTCCTACACGTAACACTTTGTTGTCATCTAAAATTGGACACAAGCTAAGGAGGTTGCTGTTTGTAGGTAAGTCCTTTCCCAACTCCAAATTGAATTTCTTTAAAAAAGTGAAATCGCTGTATTATTCGGACAATACAGAAAGTTGCAGCTCGAATTTCATTACTAGATAAAAAAAGACGTATTTCTTTCTAGATATGCTACTTTAGAATTCGATATGAATCTTAATATCCAAGCAAATATGCGTTGTAACTTTGGAAATGAAGATATATTTGATATAATAGCAAGTTCCTGTACAGGTTCAGAAACTACAAATGAGACTGTTTTACGTGCATCTGGTAATGCCTCTTCATCTATAAGAATATTTTAGACAAGGCAATCTCACTGCACTTTAACCAAGAAGGACCATTCCACCACAATTGATGAGATAGTAGTTCTGTAGGAAATAACCCACGTGAAGCACTGAATCAGCTGGATTTTCTTTTCCATCAACATGACTCCAGTTCTCAGGTGGTAAGATGGATTGTATTTCAGAAACTCTATTGGATACGAATACTTGCCATTTTTTAGGATCTGACCTTAGCCATGACAACACGATTTGTGAATCACTCCAAGCTTGCACTAAATCAAACTAATGCAGCTTTTACAGACTGAATCAAGCGTGCTAATAACACTGCTGCACATAATTCCAGTCTTGGAATCGTAATAGATTTTAATGATGCTACATGAGTTTTAGCTGTTACAAGTTTAACATTAATGTCAGAGTTATTGTAAGTTTTGATATAAATAACTGCTGCATAACCCCTTTCAGACGCATCACAAAATCCGTGAAGTTCACATCGAAAATAATCAGGTAGCAGAATTTTCCTAGGTATATTTATAGAATTCAAAAGTTTAACTTCTCTACATAGATTTCTCCAATTTCGATCAATCTCTTCTGTTACAGGATCATCCCATGATAATTGTAATTTCCACAATTGCTGAAGGATCATTTTAGCGAGAATTACAAACGGAGCTATCCACCCCAATGGATCGAATAGTTTTGCTACGAATGACAAAATAATTCTTTTAGTCGGAACACTTTGATACTCTATTACACCGACATTACATTTGAATTCATCATTGTCCGGATGCCATTCCAATCCCAGAACTTTCAATGTTTTGTCTTCTATTACACGATGAATATTGTCACTATCTGTGTTTGTTAAGCCAGAGGTTTTTAACAATGACGGTTCACTTGTCGACCATTTGTGAAGCTCAAAGCCACCACTTTTTAGCAGATGTTGCAATTCGTCTATCAATGCAATACCTTCCGAACTATCTTTTACACCAGTTAACATATCATCAACATAAAAATCTCTTAAAACTATATTCTTTGCCTTTGGAAAGTTCAATCCTTCATCAATCGCTAACTGACTCAAAACTTTGGTTGCAAGATATGGAGCAGCTGCAGTTCCATATGTAACTGTTTTCAAACGACAAACTTGTATTTGCTTTATACGGGCTATCTCTCCATAATATTCTCTGAAAATCTCTATCTTTTTCATGAACCTTTATCTGTCTGTACATCATTTTAATATCAGCGGTTATTGCAATGTTATGAAGTCTAAATCTTAGTAAAATACAAATTAAGTCATCTTGTATTTTTGGGCCTATCATTAGTGTATCATTTAAAGAAACACCTGTGGTTGTTTTAGCGCTCGCATCGAAAACAACTCTCAATTTTGTTGTTAAGCTAGAGTCCTTCAACACAAAGTGATGTGGGATATAATAGTGTTTTTATTCTCTAATTCATAATCTGTGTCTGGCACTAATTCTACGTGTTTTCTAGTGAAAAGTACTCTTTCATAAACTGAATATACTGGTTGTAAATTTCTTTCATAGATAACAGCCTCTTCTCCAAGTATTGAAATCTTCTGTACGCCATTTCACGGGAGTCACCTAGAATATCTCTATTATGTTTGAATGGTAATGCAACTGAATAACGACCTGATGTGTCTCTAAAATGCGAGTTTTTAAAATGTTCTTCACAAAGTTTTTCTTCATTTGTTAAAGGTTGTACATTTGGAAACTTTTCTAACTCCCAGAAAGAATTTACTAACTCATCTGTGTTTGTATTCAAATGATTTACATATACTGGCTCAAAATTTGTAGATTCAAAATTTGTAGTACCCGAAATTATCCATCCCAACCTCGAATTTAGAGCAAATGGTAGATCAGGACCACGTTTGACAATTTCTCCCGTCATTAAATGCAGAAATACATTTACTCCAAATAAAATGTCAACTGGTTGTGACTTGTAAAATAATGGATCAGCTAATTGTAAATCACTGAAGTTATCGAAGATGATTGATGGCAAAGATACATAGGGAATGTTATCTGTCACCTTGTCCAGTACAAACGCTGATGTTGATACACGAATATCACTTTTAAAATGAGAAGTGAATACTAAATCGACTTCCCCATTACTTATAGTATTAAATTCTCCTAGACATGATACAGAAATGGAATTATCTTTCACTCGTAATCCTAATTTCTTCACACAATCCCTTGAAATAAATGATCTCTGAGATCCAGTGTCACATAAACATCTACACTTCACAAATTGTTGTTCAGAATTTTGAACTTTTATTAAAGCAGTACACAATAAAATGTGACTGGTTTGATTACCTTTTGCATTCGAATCATAATGAGAGGCACAAACTGTGGCTGAAACGTCCTTAGGACTCGTTAATTCATCTCTTTTAGGGATAGATTGCGTAGGCGGAGATATACTGTTTAACTGAGTTTTATTCTTTGAATTATTTACAATGTGCAAAATACTGTGATGCTTCTTAAAGCAATGTTGACATGTATTTAAACTCTTGCATTTTTTGAGCAAGTGCATATTAGATAAAAACAATTAAAACAGTAACGATTAGATTTTACAAATTCTATCCTTTGCTGAACCGATAAATTTAGAAA